CCAGATGAGTGAATCACTATCTATGTTGCCATGAAACAAGCGAGTTTATTGCAGCCTATGTGATGTTCAGTACACCATGTGATTGACTTGGAAAGGCCACTGATTAACTGTGTTCTTCACCTGCTCTTCAACAGACAGATGAGTCTCATCTAGATGACCTTCCTGTGGTACGGTATGGAAGACCACACTGGTTGGTCTTTCCTGTAGGATGGTGGCGCACAGTTCAGTGGAAGGGAAACAAGGCACAGAAGAACCCCAAGCGAGGACAGAAGCCTCCCAATCTCAAAGGTCCAGGCCCAGCCAACAGGCAGCGGTTATCCAGACACATTTCAGGCCCTTCAACTATGCCAGAGACTTCAAGACCATCGCAAAGACCACCTCAATGCTAGAAGAGAGTGGCTTCTATTGGGGTCCCATGACTGTGGAGGAAGCGCATCAGAAGCTGAAGAAAGAGCCAGTCGGAACTTTCCTGATCCGGGACAGTCGTCAGAGCGACGTATTCTTTACACTGAGTTACACAGCACAAAACGGTCCCGTCAGCGTCCGGATTACCTTCAAGAATTCCAAATTCAGTCTGACTGGCAGCAAGCAATCTTTTGACTGTCTTTTCAAACTGCTGGAGCTCTACATCAGTTCCCCGAAGAAGGGTCTCGTCAGGCCCTACAGGAAAGAACCGGTGCAGTCCCTGCAGCAGCTGTGCCGCAGACGGATTATCGAAACATGCGGCGGAAAAGACATCGACCGCATCCCTGTGCACCCGATCCTCAAAGACTTCCTCCATGCCTTCCCTCATCCGCTATGAAGACGAGACTCGCTGCATTAAAGCGCTGCTGGAATATTCTGGAGATACTTGATGGACTCCTCGTGGTCCTGCTCTGTTTTAGGACGCAGGAATCATACTGTAGCACATTTTGGAATATCAGTCTTGAACACTGCACAATGAAAGTTTACATTGTTTGTGAATGTTTACACTATATGGGAATATTGTGTTCCTTTGATTCTATTTCTGCTATGCAGATAGATATATTTCAAGATAATACTTTTTATAAAAATAATAAATATATTTGTAAACAACTTAAAACATCTCAATTTTTACTTTTTTTGTTGTTGGGGGATTCATACACTCGGAGACCTGAATGGAAGTGCTGCAATACAGTTTTTTTTTAATACAAACAAACAAACAAACAAACATTCACAAAAAAAAAAAGTTTATTAATTTTTAGAATTAAACTATGTAGGCAAGAACCTTTCTTTCAATATTGTTATTACTTTTTATATAAACAACCTAGACCAAACTACATACAACAAAACAAAAAAATTTATTAAATAAACTAAATAAAGGCCAGATGACATTTCAAACGATCTTGAAGTGCTTATACGCACTATAGGCGAGAAGTTTCCTACATACAAGCTGAACCTCACCCTTGTCTAACAACATTCAAGTTTCATATCTTAGCTTAATCCATGCCCATGAAACCTGCCTTTTTCTTAGAATCTGACATGTCATGTTCAAGCTATGATATATTTGACTAGATTATGGGCTTAGTGTACCTGGATTCCTGAAATGACACATAGACAGGGACTTATAGGAAGTTTAGGCCAGACGTTCTGTAGTGAACCAGGCTGATTAATCTGGGTAGTAGCGTGGTTGAGGGGCGGAGCTGTGGTGACCGTAAACTGCTTATGGCCCAGACAGACATTTACAAGAAATGAAGTGGGTTGTGAGGACTGATGGAGTGTGACAGGGAGGAGCCTGTGATCTCCAGAGACACTCGTACATGGTATGAATAAAACTCTGCGACACATCTGACAGGCTTACGCAGAAAAATGACTAAAAACAAAACAATACTCTGCATCAGTGGTTCACGTAAACTTTAGATCACTGCTTGAAATTCCATTCGAGGCTGAAGGAAGTGATCCGCACTGCACAGTCGTCAGATAAGACTAGGACGAGATGTTGTAACACTCTGTATCAGTAGATCATTGTTCACCTCAATAGAACAATGGCAATTAGCTGTTTTCTGGCTAAATGGAGAGATTCGAATCAATCATTAGCAAAACAGTGGATGAAAACATGTATAAAGGAAGAAAGCTTAATTACAAGTACGCTTATCTTAGGGGGAAAAAAACTTCCTGATTCTAATGAATTTATGTTATCATATTGTGGAAGTGAGGGGGAAATCATTCGATGCGCCGGTTGGCTAATTTATCAAGGGATTTCCCTTCACCACTCTCAATACAGATTATTGATTAACTTTGTACATTTAATTCACATGTGAATTGGACACAAACTATTTCGATAGGTCGCTGAGGTTGACTGCGTGAATTGGTCGATGCGGTACAGGGTAATCAGCCTATCTTCCCTCACTCGCCTGTACTGATTAATACACATGAAAGCGCATAGTCACTTCCAGGAAAAGAGACAGTTGTGTTTCCCTGAAGAGCCCCTAATCTCCACTGCACCTGGCCTCAACTTACACAAACATGCATATGTACACACTCCTGAGCAGTGCATTTCCTTTTGGAACCACAATGCTCCCCTCCAAAACGCAGACACTGACAGATACACACACACAAGCCTGTGTGGGTAATCGGTTCATAGAAACGGCCCTGGTTTGAGCTTTGAGTGCTCAACCTCAACCTATCCATGCAGAAAATTGGAACTCTCAAAGACTTCTTAGTCAAATAAAATAAATTAAAATAATAATAAACATTTTCTTTGGCTTAATTGATTTCTAAATTAAAAGGCATTAAGTAGCTATCTTTACACACTACACCAAAACGTACTCATTGACTAGATGTTGCACTGGAAACTCGTTACCCACGATCAAACTTTTTAAAATCTATTTATGGTTATGATGCTGAAGCCCCCTGGGAGTGTTTTTTGTCAAGTGACAATGTTTCGGACCACAAAGCTATATTCCAGGAAGGCAAGTGATATGGCTACCCACATAATGGTTACTATGACAACACTCATCTCTTGCCATCCCACATCAAGGTAGAAGGTCCCCATGGCCTCCACTGAGAATATGTGGGCAGGACTTCTAATTCACTGATTCACAAAGATAAACGTTTTTCACACTAACAGAACACAAAGACCACCTTTCTGTAATCTCCTCGCCTCCTTTTCCATACAGACAGGTGGGTTTTAAATGGTTTGATGAGTATTAGTAAAAAAACACAAATATTTTGTATTTTCACATAAGGTCCTTATGAGGGGCTTACGGCCCCATAGGGTCTCCGTGGAGGTACTGCAGGGGGTCCAATAACACGGTTTTGACCTGATTTTGGTGTAAAAAAAAAAGCGTGCATTAAACAAAATACAACATTAAGTCAACTTCAACCAAATTTAAATGTTTCATTTCTTCATGTAATATTAAAATTTAGTAGGTAAAATTAAAATATACAAGTATACAACTCTACACATCAATAAGGATCATTTTAATGGCTTTGCAATGTATCGCCTGCAACAATCTCACCATCTCATCTATTTACAGTGAAATACAAGGTGCTGTATTGTGGCAGGTCATATGTGGCTCTTCTCAAGTAAATGCCATGTAATTCATACAAGCTAGTAAGTCTGAGTTCTTTAGAAATATCACCCCTGTGATGCAGCTTTCAGCAAAAGGCATGAGACACTATCAGCATGGGCTCCCGGAACGAGACCTCTACAGAACACGCCAATGAGACTCTCATGAGACCATCTGCGCACAGCTTTCAATCAGCTTCTTATCAACCTGTTTCTCAGACCAGAGGAACCATACTGAAGATAAAGGACATGTGTGTTCATTTAACAGATGCTTTTTTTTCCCAAACGGACATATTTGAGACAGCCATCACAGCCTAATTTTTCACAGAAACGCTTATTGATATTGAATTGAAAGCAGTTTATGACATATTACTACATGACATTTATTTTCAGTCGAGGAGGATCTGCTGATAAGCAGAAGTGGGACGTAGATTGTTGCTTTTTGTTTGTTATTGTGAATTTCCTTGCTTAAAAACCTGTTCAAATGAAGGAATCGTAGGAAGTGAAGGTCAATTTAATGTTAAGTCTCTGGGAAAACACAGAGCAAATAAATAAACAGAAATTGCATTTTTCTCAGCATCGCACAGATCCATCACTGGTTTCTGGACAAGCAAAAAAAAAAAAAAAACATTCCCTTCCATATGGGAGTGTTTAACATACAATTACATGGAAAATCGACTGTGAAAAATAACTTCCTGAATAAGCAGCCCACTTTGCACAGTAAGAAAGAAAATCACCTCAAATTTAATTTTTATATTTGCAGTTTCCCCTCCCACAGGAATGTGGCTTTGTCATCACAGTATTAAAATACACATTAGTTACAAAAATGGTACTTATATACATATATTGTTTTTTTTAAACCAATCACAAGCAGAACTGGATTCCAGAGTTCCCCTTAATCATCAAGAGACCCAAACACTGAGAAACCCACCTATTCTAGGAAACGATGACTATCGGGAATTAAATAGGCTTGCTGATATTTCAACAGAACAGGAAATTTGCAAATGTATTTTGACAGATTAACTATATATAAACAAACAGTGTGAGAGGAAAGATTTTGGGGAAACCGTGGCCTAATGGTTAGAGAGTTGGACTCGTAACCCAAAGGTTGCGGGTTCGAGTCTCGTACCGGCAGGGATTGTAGGTGGGGGGAGTGAATGTACAGCGCTCTCTCCCACCTTCACTACCGCGACTGAAGTGCCCTTGAGCAAGGCACCGAACCCCCAACTGCTCCCCGGGCGCCGCAGCATAAATGGCTGCCCACTGCTCCGGGTGTGTGTTCACGGTGTGTGTGTGTTCACTGCTGTGTGTGTGCACTTTGGATGGGTTAAATGCAGAGCACTAATTCCAAGTATGGGTCACCATACTTGGCCACGTCACGTCACTTTCACTTTAATGAGACGCTGCTTCATTATAAAACTCATTTAAAAGATGAAAAAAAGGTAAGACGACCAAAATGTACATCAGAATAATTTATTGCATGACTTTGATAGCTCCAGTAGGTAAATTATTTATAACATTAGATCAAAACAAATCTTTACACTGTGTACAAACTATGAAGTAACCCCCCCCTCGACAATGAATTTAACCTCAAAATACGAATATATGCAGAATTAATCATATTGCTTTAAAGGTAATATTTTACAAACTCTGCCGATAAAGCTTAAAGCGGAGTGCTTTTCTTCGGAAAGAAAAGCGCCCGGTCACGGTTACCACAGATTTGCATCTGTGCCACACCGCAAGAGTGTATGGATCCCTTCTATGTGCTACAGTCTATAAACCGAAAATTAATTTTCCATTTCAGTCCATTAGTGACGGTAGTCCAACTACTTGAATCTGTAAGTGAAATAAATGAGTCTTGAATTACTGTTATTGCACACCAAAGTAAAACGAAACCACAAATACATCACACCTAGCTTTGATTACGTGTGTCCAGCACAAGCTCTTGACCTCTGGAATATTAAGTGTTAAAGAACGTTCAAACACACCTAAAAATATGGGTAAGTTGCCTCAGCTTTAAAAAGCAAAGAGACCACTTTAGTGGTACTTAAAGCAGTAACTACGTGAATGAAAACAGGTATATTCATCCTGCGCGTCGGCAGATTTCAAAATGTTCCAGAAAGAAAACGAATGCGTGCAGGTACGGCAGTGACATAAACGCTTAGGAATGAAACTCGATGACATCAGGTTTGTTCACCTGATGAAAAAACATGACTGATATAAGTGAGTCAGCGGTTTTTATACAAAAAGGCTTGATGGTGCAAGAGTTCATGAGTTGAATGATCTTAAATGAAGTGATGAATTCAAACGGGTTACTTTAAGCTCATATCTGTTCCTTACAATCTCCAAAGAATGACACAAAAGGGCATTTTTCAAAACGCTGAAGTGAAAATGAATGTTCAGCCAAAACTAAATATACCTTCAGAAAAGAGCACCGCTGGATAGACCCAGAAGTCTTTGTACATTCCTCAGTGTTAAGACTGGTAAAATCAAGCGGGCGTTCCCCACTAACCCACTACAGATTTATACAAACATGCCCTCTCCTCTCCATCTGCTCAGTATCATAAAACCATTCACGCACACACTCTAACATTCGCACACAATCACAAAACAGTCACACATGCAGAGAAACAGCTGGATCACCTCAGCACCAGAGCAGAAAGAATAACGCACGACAGAAAAAAGACTGTGCTTTAAGCAGCACTCGTGACACAATAATGTCATTGTTCTAAGAGTGCCATTTTCCTCTGAAATGCATCATGGTCTTGATGTAAGGAGAAGTACTGGTAACCGCTGTGTTGACACAGTCGGCAAATACACAAAGATACAATTGAGGGCATGAATAACCAAAGCTGAAAGTATGTGCAAACTAGCTTAACTAGCTTGTGCAAAACCAGAATCGGTCATGCTCACATTGAGTAATCAACATTAACATGCGTTTCTTGCTTTTGTAACCTGGCCCTAATTTCTTCAGTACATTTAAGTTTTTAATTTTAGTAGCACTAGACATTTCAGTCTATCGCCGCCTCCTCCTCCAGGTCTGGGTTGTCCTCTTGGTCGGCCGTGACGCCTATAGAGTCTGTCTCGGGCTGAGTCACAGGTTCCTCCCTCTGAATCTGTGTCAAATCCTCAGTTTCCGCACTAAGCAATGGCCTAGACTCAGGAGATGGCTCATCTTCCTCTGGAATGATCGGAATATCCTTCCTGTCGTCTTGAGACTGTGAGTCCGTCGCTCCCGTGTCGTCGTCTTCCTTTCGGCCAGCAACCACCGTCTCTTCTCCATCTGCAGAGGCGTCATCCTGGACGGAGGACTGGGTGCTAAAGGAGCGCAGGCAAGGCGGGTCAGCGGGGGGCAGCAGGGTCAGGGAGTCCACGCTCAGCGTTTCAGCATCATTGTCAGACAGTAGGGAGATGGTGGGTTGCGGTGCAGGGGTGAGGCTAGGCGCCAGAGCGAGTCCTGAAACAGGGAGTGCAGGACCAGTTAGTTTCCCGCACATGCCTCTCCTGACTTATGGAGAAGGGGGTGGGAATTACACACATGCAGAAAACATCCATTCACTCTGAACATACAAACCAGACAAAGGGAGAACTGCACCCAGTGTTGAGGAGGAGAATGTCAGCTTTGTCAGGTTGTTTGTAATGCGTGTATGCTTGTGTGTGCTGTGACACAAATGTGTGAGTTTGCTGAGATGTTTGGTATACAGATAAGGATGGATTGATAGATGGCTAGATACAGATAGATAGGTAGACAGATAAGGCAGATAGATAGACTGTTAGATAGATATATGGAGAGATAGATAAATGGATGGTTGGATGGATTGGTATATTGCTAGATACTTAGGCAGGTAGACATACAGACAGAAAGCTAGATAGACATACAGTGAAAAATTGATGGTTGCATAGATAGATAGATAGATAGATAGAGACAGACAGTCAGACAGACAGACAGACGATAATGACAATGTGACAATGTGAGGGGTGTAAATAACAGAATTCATGCCACAAGTTAAGAATTGCTGATGGGTTAAGCCTAGGAGGGAAGTGAGTCAGACGGGTGTCTTTGCTAAGAAGCTCTTTGCTAAGAATACAAATATGAATGTAAATGAAGGAACATGAATGGCAGAGAGCCATGGAAGTGAAAGGATGAAGACAAAAAAGGGTGAAGCAGAAAAACAGGATACAGTGCTTTCTCATTCTGGGGTGTCATTAATTCACAGAGCCTTTGGATTTCATCAGCTAAGCCACGCTTGCTAACATCATGCACTTTTAAAGAGAGGTGTCACAGTTTCTACAATGATGTTTGTATTTATAAATACTGATCACTTCACTATTCACTTTAAATGAATACATTCCAAAGCTTAAATTGGCTAATTTTATTGCTCTTTATTGATTAATTGCAACTTAGACTCATATAGACATGAAATGAATAAATCAGCTATTCTTGGTTTATCAACTAATCTCAATCATTTCCTGACCAGTTGCATTATATCAGGCTTACCAAGTGTGCGCACACGCACGCACGCACACACACACACACACACACACACACACACACACACACAAAGCTTTAGTTTTTAGTAGCACAATGCAAGTCACTGGAAACTAGGGGTGCCACTTCACATAGTCAATCTATGTAAAAGCGTCACACGGACATGCCTGTTACGTGTGCATGGAGCTCTAAACCCACTCTCCACCGTGCCTGTCATCCTCTGACAGAGAAAACACGCACCTTCGGCCTTCCCTGCCAGACCTGACTAGAGAACAGAGGGACAGATCAGAACGCATCCTACTGACAAATGCATTTAGCATCTAATCTGAAGCGTACATGGAGCAAAACCTACAGCCAAAGGATATTATCAATTATCAATTAGATTAACATGCAAAGCACACTATTTTATATCTACATAGAAAAATAACAAAGCAGGATTATGGCGATGGCTTGATTTAAAGGGGTCATATGATGCGATTTCATTTTTTCCTTTCTCTTTAGA